TTCTAAGTTTATAATATACTAAAAGTTATTTCTTAATTATTATATTATTTCTTTAAAGCTTTAAAGTTTTATAGTAGTATTATTATATATAGTTTAAACCTTAGTAATATTATTATCTCTTTTCTTAACTTTAATTTAAAGGTATTTATAAGTATTTTTCTTTAAGGTTACTTTATTATTAAAGTTTATTACTATAAGGGCTCCTTTAAGTTCTTTAACTAGATTTTAGACTAACTACTATAAAGAGGAGGAGGTCCTTAAAATAAGTAACTTAGTAGAGGTATATAAAGATATACTTATTATTTTACTATTAATAGGTATTAATAGTTAATTTACTAAATAAGAGTAATTAAAATATTATAGTTAGTTATCTAATAGTAAAGTCTACTAATAGAAACTAAAGATTAATATATTATAATAGTATATTAAGATTATAGTTTAAGTTATAAGTTATAAGCTAATAGTAGATTAAGTCTTTAGAAGTTAAAGTAATTAGTTTTAAGTTTAATAAGTAATTTATAATAAAGGTAAACTAAAAGTATCTATAAGGATAAATATAAAGTTAATTACTAAAAAGTTATAAAAGTCTAACTTTAAGTAAGGTTTAAGTTATACTATATATAAGTCTTAAATAATATCTTTTATCTACTTTTAAGTAATTACTTAAGTATATAGGTAATTATAATTAGTTAATAATACTAACTAATTACTAAGTATTTCTTCCTATACTCTACTAATTATTTCCTTATCTTATTATTATATAACTTATACTATAGTTCTTCTATTCTAAGTAAGTCCCTATTATTCCTATTAATCCTATAGTATAAATATCCTATCCTAGCTACCTAACGCTTAAGTAGGTTAGTTAACTATTATCTATATATAATAAGTTATAACAATAAGGCCCCTTATCGGCATATACTAGAAATTTACTACCTATAAGAACATCCCCTAGAGCTACTAAGGTTGAGATTTAATTATAGATTACTAGAACCTTAACGCCTGACCAGCTGGTAGATTAATAAATACTGAATGTCGGCCTTAATATACATAATAAGGCATCTGTGGCATGCCTAAATCTGCTCTGCTTAGTTTGGTTCACTATATTCAACAGTTTCTGGCTTCTGTAACCTGTCCTTCCCGGGAATCGAGGCATCAAGGATGAGCTCAGAGACCCGTCGCTTCCAGACAGCAGCACCACCTACACACCGCTTTTCGATCAGCTGTAAAAGGTTGAGATTCCATTCAGCTTGCAAACCGGCAGACGATTTCCATCTTCGTCCGTGATATTTGAGCCAAGATTTACGTACTCTACCTGGAGAGTCCTCTAGCAAAACCCTGTCAAATGCGATAATATCGAGGATTGAGGTCGGGTGAAAATTTCGAGACATGCTGAAAAGACTCATCCAAACTTCATCGTCTGGTGTCCGACAGTCCCCAAAGTTGTGATATGTCGTAAGCTCGAGGCTCCAGCCGCGATTCTCGTCTCCCCTCTCAATAGCGACCTCATAGTCTGTGAAGCAAACTCTACATGATCCAATCCCTTTATCGTGATGTGTATCCCATTCGGGGTTGACTGCAATGATCCGTAAGTTATGCAACTCTGGAATGCACGAACCAGCTGATGAGCCCTTCCACTGAACGTAGGAGCAGCCAAGAATATGTCGACAAACTGGAAGTTCGAGGCTGTCGATAGCCTTGGTAAATGTCTCCAATCCACAGGGAGGGCCGATAACTTCGTGATGACGACAGATGTAGAGTTCGTTTTTAATGACTTTCGCAGCCGGTTTGTGCATGAAAGCCCATCGTGTTGTGTCTTTCGCAGAGGAAAGCGAGGCAGCAGGTTGAAGACGCCGTTGAATCTGTGGAATAGTCCCCCGCAACCGTAAGCTGCATCTTCTCTCTGATACATGCTATTCAAGGGGAAAGTGCGTCGTCGTCTTTAAGTCGTTGAGGGAAATACTTCTGTCAAAATAGAAAGTACTCTCAAGACATTCTATGGGGAGCCCATGATCAGGGCCATAAAAGTGGCGTTTCATGACTAGATGTGCTTCAGAGAATGTGACTATTGGCTCATTGCCCCCGGGCCCCCTAACGGCTGGCTTCCACGTAAGTATTCCCACATTCTCAACCCACAAAAGCCTAACCAGACCCAAGTCGTCTGTGATTATCTTGAAGGGATCGTAGGAAGATGGGTGGTAAGACCTCACAATCCTACGGACGATTTCGTCGCAGACTGGGTGAGGCTGGGAATACCAGGAATTGTTATGGCGCTCGAAGGGTTGAAGTCGTAGGCAACCGAAGCAAAGGTAGTGTCTCTTGGCATCCTTGTCGAGGAGCAAAAGAAGTTCGAACATCTCTTTTTCTTCCATCATAGGAAATTTGTGATTGGGGCAAATTAATACGAAGAAACCCTTACAGGCGAGAGCGAGTGACGTTCGGGAGTTGGCGGCCAGTTGGTTCGCCACGATCAAGAGGATCTCGGGTGGAATGTCATACAGTCCTCTGGGCCTGCGTATCGGTAAATCCACATCGCGATGTTGATTTCTCTTACGCGTATTGCGCCTTTTACCGCAACTGGCCTTCGTCATGACTGCTACTGGACGTACCTGTGGGATGTGGTTGGTATCTTCAGCGACAAGCAAGACACAGAGCATATTTGATATTTTCAAGCCTTTAAAGCCCCGCCGAGGCCACGTAGAATTTGATTTTACTTTCCGCAAGATAGACTCGGCTGGCCATCCAGGTGATGAACAAAGCTCACGTAGTCCCTGATGGTCCAAGTGATACACTGTCAAGGTGGTTGACTTGATTGCTCTAAAATGAACTGATTTTCCGAGGCCGTGTGTACCTGATGACTATTTCCGGCACGTTTTAAACTCTGTCACGTCGAAACCTTGTTTTCCATTTCGCCCTGGTCTTTGCGCCGTGAAGCCGTTCTCTGGCCTTGTATGCAGTATTGTGGCGTCACGGCTGCTGTGGTTCGCAGTGCGCCATAACAGGAATAATATCGCTGAACTCCTAGTGCTGAAATACCCGCACATTCAATTTTCTTTCGAGGGTGCTGCAGAATCTCGCGTTAAACCTTTTCGGCGCGAGATGGAGCCTTTGAAGCTTACCTAGATCATTTGTGCCATTGATGTCTCGACAATAGTGATTTTGAATTTGTCACGCTTAAGCTAGCGGAATACGTTAGTGAGGGTGCTGCATATCGTTCACCCAGAAGGGCGCACCTGAACGGAATATCCTCCTGGGTAATTGGAGTCGAGGTACTCTTTCAGCTGGCTAGAGCTTACTTTGGATGCGGAAATGAATGCGTTTCTGCTTCCGTCCTTGTTGCTTTGCCACTGGACCTTGGGGGTGGATCGCAATTGTCTCGACATTATGAATAAGTTCCAAGGTTGGAGGAATTGGTACGCCAGAGGTTTGCGACCCAGTTGCCTGTCCTCCCCAAGATATTTTAAGGCAACGGCGAGAAAAACAAAGCAACCTGCGGAAACGACCGGGAGAAAACCATAGGAAAGTTGCGATTTGCCACCTTGCGTAGACAGCAATCACGAGATAGTTCAAAAGGGAACAGGATTCAGCAAGCTTTTGAACATCACATCGGATCTCACCGCCTCCTGTCTTGACTGCACGTATCCAGGCCATGCAGGTCGCCGCTGGTCATGTTTACAAAATGGCGAAGTGTTATCAGTCAGCACCCTGATTGGACGGCAGTCGCTCTCATTTGCGACCCAGGCGGCCCAGGCGGCTTTGCCGCTCGCCTTCATGCAAAGTGAGTTGGCTCGACCAGGATGATCATGTTACTAGCGCCTAAGGAGTCAAATATTGGCACACTCTGGAATTGAAGGATGCAATCATGGGCTCACTGAAACACCCACAACGCAGATAGCCTACTGGTCCGCCTGAGGGAGGTGCATACACTGCCACAAAGCTGCGCCAGGAAGGCTGGGCAACTTCGGGAACAGAACGGGCGATGGACAACCTCCACCAGGACAGATAGCCTTTGTAGATAAAATCCCCGTAGTTGGCAGCTAATGAACCCTCAAAGACTCTTCTTTGCCAAGCAAAATCATTTGCAGAAATCGTGAAGTCCAATCAGTAGCTAATCGCGTGGTATCACTTGTCGAAACGGCCACTGATCGTGAAGCAAGACCGCCGTGCAGTAATAACGCCAAACCAAAAACAAGAGTTAAAAGCTGAATTATGATTATGTAGGAATATGTTGCGTCAGCGAGCGCTGAGAATCGGCCTGCATAAGCTCTCACTTCTCGAGTCTCCACTCCCATCAACCATGCTTGCATTGTGGATTGAGGCACACATCCTCGCTTGCACGTGGAAAGAGTGCTCTGCAGTCTCCAAGATCTGATGTACCAGCCCAATCAAGTATCTGCCCTCTTTTTGGCGCATTCAATTGACCATTGGGTGGCTCCTGTACCCGGTCGTGCGGTTGCCTTGCCTATTCTGCCTGGCCTTATCAACCCTGCGCTCCTCTCCATAAGCCCATCATTGAGCAAAGTAACCATCGCAGTGGTAGGGCGAAAGACGAGGCTTTCCTAAAGAGGCCAAGTCGTAGTGGCAGAGAGTGATAGAATAGAATAAGTCCAGCAAATCACGGATGCAGGAGCTACTCCCTCTTCTAGCGCACACTGGGTAACGGGCGGCCTATTTCAACCTTTGATCGCCCTCTTCTCTAGCCATACAGTGGCCTCGCCCCGTTTCCACGTCCCCACGGAGACATCGCCCTTTGACGTCGTTCGCTGCCTCATCCAACTCCATCGCTGTTGGCTCAACAACTCACCGATCCGCTCTGTCATTATTCGCATTTGCCAACATCACTGTGGCTAGAGTCAACTTCTTTGCAGCCTCTCCATTAAGTCAATCGTTGCTAGCACTGATAAGCCCTTTCAAATGGCTGGTTAGCCTCACCTTTCATTAGCGTCAAGATGTCAGCAAGCTTACTGCGTACCACAGCTACGGCAAGGAGACATCACATCATGTCTCATGATGCTTCCCAGGAGTTTTCGGGGCTCATAAAACTAAAGCCGTCATCAAAGCTTCTCCTGGATGACCCGAAGCGCGTTCAGAAAGTGCTTGACAGAGGAGACGCATTCAGGTTGAAGAGGGAGAGGAAACGGCAAGCGGTTCCTCGGGTGAGCGGGTCTAATGGGCAGATGAATGAGGACTCCGATGATGACGATATAGTCGAACAACTTGGTCTACAACTTGACGAGGCGAAGACCTCGAATGCCTTAGAGCCAGAGAAGCGATTCATCCCACAACCTCAGTTCGACAGAATCCTGACTTTCGAGTCGGTTTGTAGGATTGTATCTACTCTCCAATGTCTCAGAAAGGAGCGGAATAAAATGGAGCTTGCAGAGCAAATATACTACGGTAATTCAGACGGGTCGAAGGGTCCTGCCCTCAAACTGTTGGCGGTCCTGGTGGGCATTGAAAAGGTGGAGGACTTTGCCAAACACTTCAAGGATGGAGTGAGAGATAGCTGTTTGCCGCTTCAGCCAACCGGTGCCACCAAAGACCAATTCCTCAAGTGTCGAAAACACGGAATGCACAGCACTATCAACAGTTATCTTCGTCCCAATATCCGCGAAAACTTTTCGAAATGGTCTCATACATTGAACGCGCCGTTCATCAAATGGGAGCCGTCATTGCATTCACATTACGTTTTGGAAACCGGGGACATTATTCCTGTGGAGATCATCGACAAAGTCACACAGGATGACAGCTCGGAGACCACGCAAAAGGATGCTCCTTCTGGTGGAGGTAATACTTACGGAGGTTTCAGTGAAGTCTATAAAGTCAAGATTCATGATGGTCATTGGGACTTTGGGGACCATGGAGTACGTTACGTGTTCCCGACTTTCCAGTTACTCAGCTAATCTTCGATCTGGTCAGATCCGACACCCTCAAGAGTTCTTTGCCTTGAAAAAGCTGACGTCCCACAACCGAAACAGCTTCGACTTGGAGCTGTCTTCCTTGTTGTTCACTGGACAGAACTATAAGAAGAAGCATCTCATCCAGTTGCTAGCAACATTCGAGGTCGTGAACCCCGCTGCTGGAGGACTTTCAACCTACTACCTATTGTTCGACTGGGCTGAGGGCGATCTAAGCAAGTTCTGGCAAAGTAACGAAGGTCTCGTCGGGAAGAAAAGTCATTGTCTCTGGATGGCTGAGCAGTTTCATGAGATCTCCGAAGCTCTACAGTGTGTTCACAACGATCGAGCCCCAACCATGCGGTATTTGGAAGATCGCGACTCAAATGAAGACCTATATGGAAGACACGGTGATATTAAACCAGGTATGGCAAAGAACTGTTGGCAACGAGATATTCTCTGACACATTTCAGGAAACTTTCTATGGTTTCACTCCAATAGCTTCCCGGGCCTCTTGGCGTTATCGGACTTTGGCTTGGGAAGACTGCATACCCAAGTATCCCGGTCCAAGCAAGACCCAAGGAACATTGAAAGATCAGCATCTTATCGTTGCCCTGAGTTCGACCTGCCGTTTGGCCAAGTTTCCCCCAGGTCCGACATCTTCAGTCTTGGCTGCGTTTTGTTGGAGTATGTCACCTGGTTCTTTCTTGGATTCGACGCTGTCGAAAACGTCTTCCCATCTAAAAGACTATCGAACGATATCTACGGTTTCGATTCCGATATCTTCTTCTCGGTTAAGGATAAACGGGCGCACATCAAGCCATCAGTTTTGTCCTGGATTCACGAGCTGCAACACCGCCCCGACTGTTCATGGTATCTCTGGGACCTGTTGGAATTGATCAAGAACGGGATGCTCGAGCCCAATTCGGACAATCGCATACGTGCCAACCAGCTCACAAAGAGAATGCACGAGTTACTGAAGGCTTGCGAGGCTGAAGAGGACTACTATCTTAAATCACGATGGCTGAAGTAAAGAGGTGTGCTTCAGTGGCTGAGTGAATTGGAAGTTTTGTTATTGAAACGATGAAACAATCACCGTCCTGCTTCCATCGAGGACAGCGTATTTTCAGTTCGTTTCAGCACCAACGATACTTTTCCCAGTTTGAGCCCAGACATCTTCAACGTCGAATAATCAGTAAGACATAAGTCAGCATCGCCGGGCTCATATTTCCTATCACTAACCTATTCATTATAGTGTTCCCTGGCTTCTTTTTCAAGCTTTTCCATTTCACCCTATTGAGTCGAGGATTGTCAGTTGCTTGTGCATAACGTACATGGGTAATCATGGCCCAGAAAGAGGAAAAATAGGAGGGAGGGAGAGGGGGGGGGAAGATTTGCTCTTACCTGTCTGGGCGGTCTGGAGAGCATGAGGATGTAACGATTGTTAATAACCTGCGAGGTTTCATACGTTAGACTGGACATCACTAAACCATCGGAATTTGACTTGGAGTTCATAATACCCTCACTTTGTAATTTTTCTCGCCGAACATCTTGTTCAGGGTGTCCTTCAGCTTCACCGGATCGTGGTACTTGGTTCGCATCGTCTCACGATGCCAGTCTGTAGTTGGTGACTCCTTGGAGGGAGGTTCCTTGGATGGAGGCTTCTTGGAATCGGCCATGCTGCATAACGTAACGTGTTTAAAACAGCTGTTGCCGTATTGTGCACTTGGGCCGCAATAATTCACTGCGTTCTTGAAGAGCGTGTCTGCGATTTTGCTGTGCAGTAATGTTCTCGGTACAAAAAAGAGGAAAAAGTCCGAAATGAAAGATGGAGGGGCTCCGGGGGAGAAACGCAGGCTCAGCGGACCAGAGGCACAAGAGTCAAATTGTATGGGTCGCACATGCGAGTGATTTGTCTCGCGATTGGAGCTCTCTCTGCATGCTGCATGGTACTATTCCCAAAGGCCGCCGGACAACGCATACATGGGCGCTGCCGGCTGCTCCACTACCACGCATGTCACGTCGAATGATGCGTCTCGCGAGCTGCAAGAAATCCCACGAGCGCCCAATCGGTCTTGGAACCGTCACAGCCTTCAAGCACGATTGCTTAGGGGCGGCAGAGGGCGTTCTACATAAGCTGCAGGCTTTCAGCGAGGCGGAGGAGAGGTATCAAAGTGGTTCGGAGAGGGGAATGTGCAGATAGCAGACTGTTTAAAGCGCAGGTGATTACCTGCGCTCCCGCATTATCTCAGGAATACAGCGTGTTTCGTCAATTATATAGCGCCATAATACCACTTTTCACCGGTGTTAGAAATGGATCTCCCTCATGAGCCCAGAGAGTGGAGTGAATCCGATCTGAAACTCTTCAGATCAGGAGAAAGAAAAGCGGTCGTTCTAAGAAGGCTCAGTACCGATGAGGTAGGTTGGAAACTGGGTCATATTACTGACGCCAAAGACTCGACTAATACGGCTTGGGACACATAGGGCACATTTAGAGAAGAGTTAAGTACAAAGGAGGACTGGGACAACTGGTTCAGTCGTGTAAGTTACGGGTATCGCCATCAACTTGCGACCATCGATTCACCGGATTTCAGGCCCCGGGAGTATCTCCATCATGGGACAAGCTTCTCCCAGGGATGTATGTGATGTAAGTCAAAAGACACTCCCGGTCATCGACTTGTGTAAGCTGACTCTATGGTCTAGCATGTGCAGCAGAGCTGGTGCTATCTTTGAAGAGGAAGGGCAAGCGCCGGCTAACTATCTACCGATGCCGAAACCCACATGGAGCCGCATCACAAGGGAATTCCATGTCCACAGAGAAATCACCAGGACCATTTTGAGAGATGTCGCCTGTTTTTCCTACCTGCCACATCACGATCCAGATTCTCATCAACTTAAACTAGGTGATTATTCAAGCCATTCGCAGCGCAGACCAAAGGTTTTGCTAAGCATGGCTTATAATTAGGTTTCACCGCACGGATGGCTACAACTTTACCAGACGATTTGGCGTTGTCGTCTACTTATATCCCGAGCACCGGCTCCACGTTTGCAGTTGTCTACGGCTGCACCGAGAGACAAATGAGTGACATCGAAGCAAGAATCCGAAGGTCTAATGAGCAACTGAACCACCCCTTACTGATGTCAGGTATATTCGTTGAACTTGAGCGCAAGAGATTGGTGCTCTCCGTTGATCAGTTAGTGGACGAGTTCACTCTGAAGTCCGACGAACTTGAAAGCGAACCCTGGAATATGGACCCAAAGGCAGACGAAGACGGCCAAAAGACACAAAAAGACTACTTGAACGTGTGCCTGCGCAGTCGAAGTCTAATTGATCACATCCAGGCTTCTAAACGCCAGCTCTCAAAATTCCTAGATGAGATCGACGAGGTTGCCGAGGAGCTTCAATCACTGGGCCCGGAGGCCAATTGGGCAGAGAGTCCTGCAACGCAAACAAAGCTGGGAAAGATCGGTCGGGATATGAGGAAACGTGTTGAGGACATCATCCGCGAGTATGATGATAAGATTGATGAGTGTAACAAGGTCGTCTACAATACGTCTCTTGCTGTGCAAACGGTAGGGTTCTCCTGTTGAAACCCGAAGATTGTATTAGCTGACTAGCAACAGGTATGGAACCACAAGATGAGACAAGACTCGTTCACAACCACGGAGATCTCCAAAGCAAATCGAGCCATGGCCTTTGATACTCGGCACGAGAGTGCGCAGATGAGGACAATCGCCATTCTCACCATGATATACCTACCGCTCTCAAGCGTGGCGGCGATCTTTTCGATGGACATGTTCAACTGGGAAGCCAGCGCAGGAGAGTCCATCGTCTCAAAACATATCTGGCTATTCGCGGTGTTGACTGTGGGGCTTACTTTCCTTACTCTCGTCGCCTGGCGAGTCGGCACTCAGCGCTCGAAGGACGTTACGAAGAAGGCAGATAAGTATTTCGCCGAACTCCAGAGGCAGGGTACCTTTGTTTGAATAGGGTCAAGAAGCTGAAGAGACTTGGTATTACCTTCAGATAGGGGAGACAATGCAGTTGAGCCCCTCTTGGATAAGTGGCTTCGCTGCAGCAATCTGCTCATTAACACCGCACGCCATTGCAACGATGTATAATGTCACTTATGTCTACGTATTTATATTGCATGTGTTCCCGAGACGATTGTTCCGATCGAGGGTGATAGTAGTCGAGATTACGGTGGTGTAGATAGTAACAATTAACGTGGTAGTAACGACAAAGGCGGCAATAACGCTAGCAACGACGACGAGGATAGTAATGACAACAACGACGATAATAACAAAAATAGCAATAACACTAACGATAACGATCACAGATGATGACAAACAACGACCAACAACGACGACAACGACAATGGAATATAACATGATATATACAAGCCTATATAAGAAGTAGTCGCTCTGGTAGCACTAGAGTCTCCGGCTTCCTTTGATCTTCCTGAATTCCCCCGTGTGGGCTTTTTGGGACATGCGAGGTCAAAATCAGACATCCTCCTTCTTGGCATCCAGAGGCTTGCGCCCATACATGACATATCCGTTCCAGTAGGCGTGAATCTTCGGATCACTCAGTTCCTTTCGAACCTTGGCGCAGAGTATCATCGTTTCCTCCTTTGACCAATCCATCTCGCGGGTCATCAAAGCAAGAGACATGCCCTCAAGGCCGGGGAGCAGAGACGCCTGGGTCCACATGCCCATGTCCTTGAGCTTTGGGTCCTTGGGCCACGGCGACATCGGGAAGCGGATACGCGTCTTTCGGACATCCTCAAAGCCCACCTTCCTCATTACGTCGTCGAAGGTCTCGGTGATGTTCATCGGGCGTCCGATCTTGTCGGCGGCCTCGGTCAGCATCCGAGACCACTTCATCAGCGCGTGGCTCTCCGTCAAAGAACCGTCGTCGGAGGTCAGTGGCCAGCGGCTGTCCTGAATTTCGAGGTAACCGCCGGGCTCGAGTGCGTCGTAGGCTTGCCTCATCATGGTTTCCCAACCTTCGGCCGTAAAGCACATGATCATGTTACGGCAGAGGATGAAGTCGAACGGCTGTGTCCAGGTCCACTCCTTATCCACATCGTCAACCTCGAAGACGCAGTTAGGCGGTACGTAGGCCGGCTGGATCGGGCTGAGGTCGACGCCAATGACATGAGCATCGGGATATGCGTCTGCATAATCCATAGCCCACGCGCCGGTGCCCGTGCCCAGGTCAAGAACACGCTTAGCACCATCGTTCTTTGGGCAGGAACAGAAGCCGTCGTCGAAGACGATTGCCCAGAGGTGGTTGATAATGTCGAGACGGTCCTGCTCGCGGACGTCGTTGGGAAAGTAGTATTTGCCATCGCTAAGACGGTGGTAGGTGCGGCCGTTCTCGCGACGATAGTCAAGGATGCTTGATCTCAGAGAGGCTTGGGATTCGGCGACCCGGGAGAAGCCAGCGACTGAGGAAGCGTCATCATCATCGACAGGCTCATCGGCTTCGATATGCGCGGCACCGGTCGCAGCGGCGGCAGCCGTAGCCTGTGCTGCCGTGGTGGATGGTCCAGGTGTGGGAGAGGTCGATGTAGGACGAGGACTGGCGGCCTTCTCGCCTGGTTGATTCTGTCGATCGCCCATGATGTCGGTTCTGATACTTTGAGGTCGTCCAACCAAAATGACTTGAATTCAAGTTTAATCCTGAAGAGCCGTAGGTTTGCTTTTTATTCCGACCATGGGCGGGAGGGCTGCGTACCCCTCTTCGCAGGGCAATCCTCGTCTGCTGTAGCTGTTGGTGCCATCTCCACTTGGAATCTGCATCAGGGGGTTACTGTACACGGTTGTAGAGCCAATGCTCCGCTCAAACAGGGGGCTCTATTTGTCCGGAAGGATTGATGGGCTCCGCGACCAGCACAGAGTGGTAACAACTAGTGGGACTGCAACCGATCTTTTACCTTCCAAGATATAGACTATTCCATTCCAGCAATGTGCCGAGGGAGGAGGAAACAAGGGCCTGTTGGTATCTCAATCACGGGTATCATTGCAGGTAATCCACTGTTGTTTACTGTGAAGGTCGACGCAGAAAGCTTTAAAGAGAGGAGAAAAGTCTGGCTAGGAAACTTGGCAATGACAAGGCTATGGACGAAATTGACGTCGATCCGCGATATCTTTCAAGAACTTCTGAAGCCTTCAGTATCTTCCCCATTTCAAATGGCCTTTCGGCTTCCATTGTCGACTGTAAAGGTTCTTGAAGAGACCCAAGGGGAACAGCTCCCGCAAATTTGCTTGGAAGACTTCTACTGTCTGTGCGAACTTGCTGCTTTTCCACCATGAGTTGAGGCCTTAACCAGCGCAGTCGCAACCGTGGTTTTCCAAGAAGGAGGTACGATGAAAAGAACACCAATTATCAGTCGGAGTTATAACAAGGTAAGAGCCCTTGTCTCACAAGTCTTCGTCCCAGTCTCAGACGTTGACGACACCTGGGAATAGCCTCACATGGCAGACCCTGAATCTAGGGCGGGAAAATGTGGAGCCTAACGGTTCCCCCGAACTGCGCAAAAATAGCAGCACAAGGACAGTCAGTGCTCAACGGGCTGAGTCTGTGGAGAACCTTGCCTTATCGCCGCCTCCTTCAGCTCAGCGGATCGGCACAGTCACGGCCGACCTCATTTCGTGCCTCAACTCTATTTTCGTTTGCGGTGTGCTTCTCTCGCGAAAGGCGGCAAACCCGTCAATTTCGTCAGCCTCGAGATGAAGACATAGGGAAAAAAAGACATATTCGCTGGAATGGATGGCCGAGGTCACGTCACGGGCGACGCTTGCGCTGCACGGTCCAGGTGAACCGCTGCGCTGAGGTGCCCGCTGAAGAAACATGAAGAAAAAAAAGACAAGCATGCGATTGCGCGCCAAAAAAGAAGCTTGTCCGCGCCAAAAACGTCGCGTGCTCTGTCCTTCCCATACGAAACACCCAGCCGGACGATCATGTGCTTGGTGGGATATGAGACAATGACGATAAGAGAGCATTGAAATCTGTGAGGACCTGGGGGAAGCAGAGAGATTGTTGTGCAGGTTTGGGTGCCGGTGACGCAAGCCGCCTGTTCCGAGTGCTCCCCCGCGTCTCCTCTTCCATTGTTACGAAAGGGAAAAAACACGAGGAGGGCGGTGTTTATGAGCAGATGAATCCGGGGGATGAAACATGACGGGAAAACACAACGGGAGGGGAAAGCATGTCGACAATGGAGAAGAGGGGAGACTAGAGACACGTCGAGTCGAGAAGGGGGCGCGATATCTGACCGTCCGCCCGGCCAGCCAGGCTCATCTATCGTCAGAGACAGAGATACCGTCCCGGCCGTCCCTGCGCTCGCTCTTCGTAGGTTGTCTGATAAGAACATGCCCTCAGAGCATGGACGCCATCATCTTGTTTCCTGATGTGACGAACAGAGGGCAACGCACAGAAACTTAAATCAAGGAAAAACAAGAGAGAAAAAGAAAGATGGAGAAGAGAGGGAAGAGACGCGACGGACAAGGTGGGAGGAGGACCTGCTGGTACTGGTTCCCCCTCTCTGACTGCTGGCTGATTGACGAGTGCTGATTGATGTTCACGGCCTCGGCCGCACACCACCACCATCAAGTCCCCCGTTTCATTCTTGTCCTCCTTGGTCGCTAACCTGGAAAGAGAAGGGGAAGCTAATTAACACCAGAGGGCACAGCAAAGGTCGTCCATCCATCAATCACTCAAATTTCCCCTGCCTCTTGCTGCTGCTGGTCCAGCCCAGCCCTTTTGTTTTTGTCCGACACCGCTCCTCTTGCTGTTCTGTTGCTCGCCATCCAGTCCGCGGCCCTTGTGACCTTGCCATCCGCCCGTCCATCCAACCCGTCCATACCCCCTCGCGAAAACCACGTCACCTCCCACATTTCTCTCCTCGACAACAACAAAAAAACACCTTCACATCTTTCGTGTCCCTCGTCGCGAAGCTTCGTTTCTTTCCGTTACCCAGAAATAACTCTCCGCTACAGCTCCCGAAGCTATCTCCCCCAAACCCCCGTCTCGCAGGTAAGCCCTCCCTCACCGCGCATCCCACACAACACACAACGCAACACCCCCTCCAAAGCGCCATCCACATCACGGTCGCGCAATCCACCCCCTTCTCCTCCCGCAATCGCATTCACCTCGCCTTGATCGCGTCAATCTGCTTTCCGTCAGCAACCCATCAAAATACTTACGCGACACCCAGAAAAAATCCGCAAAAATGGCCCGCGAAGGAACCCGCTCGCAGACCGGCAACTCCAAGCCGCGCGTGTTCCCCGTCATCGACACCGCCCCCGTCCGCAAGCCGCGCTCCTCCACCACCACCACCACCGCCGCCGACAAGCCCAAGAAGAGCACCAGCGCGACCAGCGCCGCCGCGAAGCCCGTCGGCATCACCAAGAAGAAGGCCGCCACCACCAAGAAGGAGCCCACCGTCGCCCAGAAGGCAAAGTCCGTCGCCAAGTCTGTGTCGACCAAGGTCGGCGGAGCCACCAAGGCCGGCAAGAAGGTATGCCTCCTCTCTCTTTCTCTCTGAGAATCATGGACGAAAAACAGGAACTGACAGAAATACAGGAGACCAAGCCCAAGACCGCCAAGGCAAAGGCCAACGCCCTCGAGCCCGTCGCCTCCTAGATGTCCCATCAACTCATTCCACTGCATACATCCCACGCGATGCTTCCTTCTCCACGGAGACTTGACGACGCGCGCGTTTCACCTCTTCACACCCCCGAAGTGTTTCTTTTCCCCCCAATGATGAGAGATACCACCTTTTTTGTTTCCCCCTCCCCGAGTTGAGCGTGCGGGTTTTAAAGGGATTTGTTTTGGGCCGTGGGTTATTTTACGGGTACACTGGGATTTCTTCACGGCTGGGTTTAAATCAGGGTCTGCCTGCTGCTGCTTTGATGATGTTGTTGTTACCGCCTTGGGGGGAAGGCAGGCTTACTTTTCAAACGAGCATGATTAGTTTTGGGACAGGTGACGTGTGTTTACGCGACCGAGGGGAGCCCTCAAAGAAGGGTGTCTAATACGAAACGTTGATCTGCTGCTGCTCACATCTTTCCGCCGGTGGTGATTTTGAATGACCAAATCGTGACTGCCCTCGGATTAGCATATCAGACAGGCATCCAGCAACGACAGGGCCTTCAACTGACAGGAACTATTCAAAATTCTAATTATGCAGACGTGAACGAGGGTGGTATCTATACAGGTCCCATAGTAGACTCGTTACTCCCCCCCCTTTTTCCCCATGACCCGCTCATTCCAACACCATACCTGCCATCCAAAATAAAGATGCTTCCAAACCAGTACGCCGTATCATCAACATTGACGCCTCAAATGGGAAAGTGAAGCTTCTGCTCCGCCCACGGGATCTGGTACCAGTTCTCCCAGTTCTTGCCCACGCGCGGCCCCTCCTTGATGAGCTGCATCTCGCGCACGCCGCAGAACATGCCGTTGCGCCCCGTCCGCTCCACCATCTTCCACCCTTCCCTACGTTGGTAGATTTCTTCTTGGAACCGCTGACCCTCCACCACCTCACGGTGCGGGTTCGGCGTGGGGAACCGCGAGAAGTGAGTAATGATGCCCTGGGGCAGAGCAAAGAGCCTCTCCCAGTGACGAACCAAGCGCTCAAGCCGCTGCGTCCGCTTCCGGTATGCGACGCGCACGTAGGGGTTGACGAAGACGCCCGTTTCCATCTCTCCGGCCTTCTCTGCCACGGTCGAGACGTCCGCCAGGAACAGACAGCATTCGCAGGCATCGAAATACACCTCGGGCTCATACCGGAAGCGCACCGGGGCCGTGGCGTTGTGGGGGTGATCCGGGTTGATAACATGGTGCGCCGGAGCCTGCCAGTCCTTGGTGGGCAGCTGCTTGTCCATGTTCTGGATCCATTTGGCCTGCATGGCCACCATTCCGCCCCAGCAGCTTTTGACCGGAACCGCGTCTGTCTGCGAGACCATGGCCTTGCGAGAGATGCCCTGGCCAGCGTTGGTGAAGTAGGGGAAGATGGGGATGCCGTTCGAGTACCCCTGCGCGTCTCTCTGGGCGTAGAGGTCGTATTCCGTAAACACGTTCCAGTCGAAGTCGATGGAGCAGGCCGAGAGGTAGTGTGTGCGCCCGTCATCGCCAGTGTTGGTGCTGAAGAGCAGGTGGGCAGCATCGACCGGCGCAAACATGGCATCGTTGAGAAACAGGATCTTGTCGTACTGGACCACTCCGACGTCGGGGTCAAACTGGTCGAGGGGGTATAGTGCGCGGTTGCGCATCTCGGCGAGGTAGGCCAGGCGCTTCAGTCGCTGGGTGCCGTCGGGCATGGTGATGTGGGGGAAGATGTTGTAGTCGACGTGGTCGTCGATGACGATCTTGTGCTTGCTCGGCACATTCTTCTTGAATTCCTCCAAGGCAGCGGCGCCTTGCTCGCCGCTGTCGTTTTCGTAAATGCTCAAAAACACGTTGTCCTCGCCAATCATGTGTATCAGATCCAGCACGTTTTGCGCCCACTCTCCGCCGGCAATCTTTCCTTCGGGGTCGTACAGGCTGACTGCGATGAAGACCTTTTCGTTTTGGAGGTTCGCGCAGCCGGACAAGCTGTCGGACACCAGGCATCGTTTCCGCAGGTCCTTGTAATGTTTCGGGTGGCGGGTGTAGGAGGGGAAGAATATGGGCGTCGTGACGAAGATCAGAAGAGCGAAGATGAAGGTATATCGCAGTAGGAGTCGGGGGAGAGATCGAGGTTGACGACGGAAGGCTCTCAAGACGGCTCGGGGCCTTCCCTTAAGCCAAGCCAGAAGAGACCCTTTCCTCCTTGACCGAGGCGGTGGTTGTGTGCCAGGCAGCAATGGCTCCTTGTGTTCGTCGTCGAGGTCGAATGCTTCGGAGGACGGGCGGCGTTCTTCGTTGCTTGGACGAGCCATGTTTGCGGTGGTCTCGTGCAACGCCGAGTTGCGTGTGGGATAGAAACGAGTTTCTGGTGGTCGGTGGAGGAGTAGCGGTGTCTGCAACAATTATAGGCGACGAGAGGGGTAAGGGCGGCGGCGCATGTGGCTTGTCTCGCAGACGTGTCGCAGGAATGTGAGGTCGGATGGCGATGCAGGCTCGACGTGTCAGGCCCGGCCGAGGAAGGATGGCTGCGTCGAGGAGCCAAAGAGAGGCACAATTGGAGGAAGAGAAGAAATTATTAGGAAGCAAATAAGGATGCTGGCAGGTTCATTACAAGGAGATAATACTAGGCTCGTCGTCAGGGGAAGGAGACAATGAGGAAAGGCTTTGAATTGAAGGTGGAGGGAGGGCGCCAAGACCAGACGGGAAAGGACGATTTTGACGGCTGCCCTGCCGCTGAACACTGTAAAACCAAACCTTCTGTTTGGGGCAGCCACGGTGGATGGAGCACATTCCATCTGCGTAAGGTACCCTAGCGTCCGCCCTGGAAAGAGCCCCGCCTGCTGCTGCTTGTTGCCTGTGGTTCACTTGATCCTTCGGCCTGCTGCCATTCACAAAACCAGCAAACTAAACAGCGGAAACAAGCATCATACACCGCTGCGGCAGTGCGGCAATCCCTGCTAAGGATGAGGGATTGCCCTCTTTAAAATTGAGCATATGCCTTCAATGCTCCATCAACACTGTTTCGTTTCCTTTGTTACCACCACTGACTTAAATAGAAGCCATCATGACATAGAACACAAACACATGACTGCCATTGATTTACTTCCTCCTACCCTGAGCAGCATGGCAGCTCCCGCCCCGAGCATGCAGGTAAGGTAGCTACACAAACCGGGCGATATGCTACAACATCGCCACCAATTGCAGCAACAGACCGCACTCCAGCTTCACACAAACCGGGAGAGCCCTCTCGCTCTTAGCGCCTTGGCCTCCCCCAAATCCCCTAACAAAATGAAGATCGCAGAGCGCTAGCCCCAGTCAAGATTAGCTTCAAGGGACACTGCCAACGCCCGGTCCTGGTCCACTCTATCCCGCATTATGTAATCACCTGTTACTCCCTCAGACTTAATATAACGTGCGTGAAGTGGCTTAATTAATCTAGCTACAAGTACTAGGCGCGCCTGGCTATAAAGTAGTATAGCTAATCCCTTATATAAAAGTAGGATTTAGGCTAGGGTTTAGGCCTTAGGCCTAGGCCTAGCTAATTACTATCTTATACCCCCCTTTTAACTAATACCTCCTATACTTTATAAAACTATTCCTATCTTAAAGTAGTAATTAAATTAATTATATAACTATTAGCTTTATTCCTAGCTATCTCCTTTATACCTTCTTTTTTATATTAACTTTATTATTTTATTTTATTTCTTAAAATACTTTTAATTTTTAATTTTTAGTTATATACTAATTATAATATAAAACCCTTATTAACTTTAAAGTAACCTTAATATAAACTTAAGTTATATAGTTTAGTAATTTAATTATTTTTAAATTATATAAATTTAAATTAAAAGAACTAATAACTTAATTTTAAAGTTTTAAATTTAAATTAAACTTATAGTAATTAAGTTTAGTTAACTCCTTAATATTAATTAAATAATATAAGTTCTATATTTTATAGTTAAACTTAATACCTTAAAATAAGTAGAGTTTATAGATTCTTATAAGAGTTAGTTCTAAGATATATTAATATTTTATATAAACTTAATTAACTAGGATAATTATTAGAAGATACTATAAAGTTTAGTTCTCTTTTTACTTTTATTCTAACTTATACTTTTAAGATCTAATTAAAATTAAGTAAATTAAACTTAAGCTTATATCTCTTTTAGTAATTAGTATTATTATATTTTAATATAAATAAATATTAACTAAGATATCTAATTTAGTAATAAACTTATAACTTAGTAAAATTAAAATCTTTAATTACTTTCTAAACCTTTATTATTAGATAACTTCTTATATAAGAGACTTTTATAGTTAGTAATTTAACTATTAAAAAGAGTAAATTAAGGTAATTAAAATAATATAAAGTCTAACTATAAAAGTTAATTAGTTAGTAAGATATAAAGGAATAAAGTTATTATATATAAAAGAAATAAATAAGTATATAAAACTTAATTAAGATTAAACCTTAAGATATTATTTTTAGATTAAGACTTATTATTAGTTATAAGTAGTTTAGATAAACTTAGTATTTTAATAAAGTTATAATACTTCTCTATTATTAGTAGTTTAGTAA